AAAAGTTCAGGTAGGGTTCTTTCTCTCCAGATACTTTACATTCCATACCAAGGAGCTTCTGCCACCTGGTGTCATGAAGGATACAGCAAGAGTTGGGAATCAGCTGTCTTGTCCCTCCTTTTGGAAGTCCAGGGGACAACTTACTAAGTATTTAAGAAGTGCCCATCCCAAGTGACCCTCTCACTTCCCACCCATCTCTTCCCTTTTATCAGAAATAGAAAAGTTTTATATAATTAATCTTTGTGGATTACTTAAACTACAATAAATTTCTTTGTAAACGTGAAGGTGTTTAAAAATCTGTTATCTTGAAATATAAGATTTAGCTGGGCACCGTGGCTCATGCCTGTAATCCTAGCACTTTGGGAGGTGAATGTAAGAGGATTGCCTGAGCTTAGGGGTTCGAGACCAGTTCGGGCAACTTGGTGAGACCTCGTCTCCACAATAAATCAAAAAAATTAGCTGGGTGTAGTAGCACACACTTGTGGTTCCAGCTGCTTAGAAGGCTGAGGCGGAAGGATCACCTGAGCCCTGCAGGTCGAGGTTGCAGTGGCCGTGAGTGAGCCACTGCACTCCAGCCTGGGTGACAGAGTGAGACTCCTAACTAAAAAAAAAAAAAAGTAAGATTTATAGCATTCTAATGGAAATTAAAGGCAGTTAGACTCTGGGGGTGGAGGTAGAGACAATAATATCTTACAATTGCCCTTGATATCACAAACTGAACAATCTGTAGTCTTTTTCTCCACAAATCTCTCCAGGCATGCTAGGCAGACACAGTGTGAGACCTGTCTTAAAGACCTCAGGGCAGTTGTCTGCAGAGATACCCCGCCTGTGTACTCTCAAAGCTCCAGTGCCTTACCCTGCCATTCTCTGTCAGTCATAATTGATTTACTAATTCTTCTCCCTCTCTGGGCATGTACTCATTTCCAGGGCAGAACGTGTATCTAATTCAACTACCAAATGGTAAATACTCAATAAGTATGCATTAAATGAATGACGCAGAGCAAATATGTCTGGTATTAACCTCGTTGCAGCTTGTAGCCCCCAGATCAAGCCTAGCCTGCTTGGGCAAAGATTTCCCTAGCCAGCCATTGCCTCCAAGCCTTAACCTATTCTCTTCTTAACTCGAGCACACGTCCTACAATTCCCATATAGTGGGCATGCAGAGTTCTTTATTGTGCCTACTTCCCGCCTCTTCACAAACTTCCTCAGCCAGCTTTTTTTCCCACCACATTCTTAAAAGCTAATTGTGTTTAGGGTTTTAAAATCTTTGTGACACTTCGGTGTTAGATAAACAGGAAAACAGAAAGTCTCTTTGGTTGTATCTATTTTGGGACAATTTATGCCATCTGGGTCTTACTTCCTGACTCTAGAATTCAAAGATAAAACAAACAAGTAATGAAAATACAGCCAAGTGTACAAATAGCAAGTTTCTGATTCCACCATGACTAACCTGTCTACACAGCCAACTTGCTTCCAAAAACTCCTGTTCCATTCTACATCCTCTTTCTTGTTCCTGCCAACACAGCTCGCTTTTTTATTTTTAAGTGATATTCCTCTTGCTACCTTGTAGATGATCTTGGATGGATTATGGAGCTGATTGCTCATTTGAGGGTAATCTAATATCCATTCTTGGGTAAATATCAGAATATAAAAAATCATCTGTCTACACTGGCCTCCCTACTTACTAACTTCCTCCTCCTCTACTTCCTAGAGATAGAGTGAAAGGTTATGTTTTCCCCAGGATCAAATTAAATTTGAGGCGAAGGGTGTGTCTAAATCCATTAGTGCTACTACAGACTGGGTGATTTACAAAAAACAGAAATGTATTTTTGAGGTTGAGAAGCCCAAGATCAAGGTGCATCTGAGCAGGGTCTTCTTGCATGGCAGAAGGCAGAACAAAAGGGCCAATCTCATTCTCTCAAGTCCTTTAATAAGGGCACCTAATCCTATTCATAAGGGCAAGCCTTCATGACTTAATCACCTCCCCACAAGCCCCACCTCTCGATACCACCACCACAGGAATTAAGTTCAACATGAATTTTGAAGGGGATACCTTCATTCAAACTATAGCAAGGAGGCCGTGCAAGTAACAGAGAGTAAACCTCGACTAGTTGGTTAGGATGTAGGAACCCCTGATAGTAAGGTATCAGATTCGAGGCCTTTGTATAAATGTTGCAAGATGCTAAATTTGTAAAAACAAATAAATTTGTAAAGGTGTGCAATTTCCAGGCAGAAGATGTTGATGCTGATTTTAAGTGCTGGGGCATTAACAAAGGAAGATGGCCGGGCGCAGTGGCTCAAGCCTGTAAATCCAGCATTTGGGGATGCTGAAGCCAGAGGATTGCCTGAGCCCAGGGGTTTGAGACCAGCCTGGGCAACTTGGTGAGACCTCATCTCTACAATAAATAAATAAATAAATAAGCCAATTGTGATAGTGTGGTAGCGCACACCTGTAGTTCCAGCTACTTGGAAGACTGAGGCGGAAGGATCGCCTGAGTCCAGCAGGTCGAAGCTGCGGTGCCACTGCACTCCAGCCTGGGCTACAGTGTGAGACTCCAACTCAAAAAAAAAAAAAAAAAGAAAAATGTTTGACTATGATTTAGTAGTACTATAGTCATTTTACATGAACTTCTTACCCTGCCTGCTTATAGAGTATTATAGTTATTTCAAATAAGTAAACACCACTAAATAATTTAAAAAAATAAACAGTCCAAAATGTACACCTTTTTATGTAATAGTAGTGATCTGATTATACAGTTGTTTGCTCATACTGTAAGAATCAGAACATGGGACTCAGGCTAGTAAACATGCCAATTGTAGCTAGAGTCATCTTTTGTTTTTCATCCTCTTTCATTGGATCAGATCTAGTAACGGTGTCTCAGATATTTAACTCTGATAATTCAAAAATGAAACACTACACAATGAATAATGAAAGTAAACTTAGTCGCAGAAGTTGGAGAAAAAAAGGTTTCTTTTGCTGAAGCTAGTTGGAGATTCCTCCTTAAATTTACTTTATCCCTGATTATAGTCAAGTTCTAAAAATTATTTTTTCTGATTTTCTTGGTGGAGGAAAAAAATTATTTTTGCTCTCCCCATTATTATAGCGGTGCTTTGTGGCATTTTGATTCAAAACATATTCTGATTATTCTCTCATATCTTTTGCCCACATCCCCCACGCCAGATTACTCTGATTTCTCTAAGAATGTTTAGAGTTACAAATAATTTTCCATACCCTGATCCTACATTCTGTAATCTAGTTTAGTTCATTCTTTTTGACCCTCTTTCTAGTCACTGTTTAGTCATCAGATGATTTTTTTTCTACCAACCGCTACGTAGCAACACATTACCCGTTCTCCTTAACCCCCAACCACTTGGGGTCAAGAAAGCATACTTAATTTCCCTTACACATTAAATACATTAGTGATAATGAGCTACTGCCTAAATATATATACATATATTTCAGATATGAAAAGTCCATTAGTAAGAACTGGGGAGCCTTGTCTGTATGTGAAAGAGGTAGAAAAAAAATTTTTATTAGCATTTTCCAGGTAGTGAAATGTTAACAAACATATTAATCCTCACAACATCCCTGTGAGGTAGGTAAGTCATTGTTTCACCATAAACTAGTATTTCAAATAAAGTGCAATTCCTCAAAGAATATATCTGCATTAGGAATAATTTTGCTAATGACACCATTTATGTATACTCTAAGTATCTGTGTTTTTGTATACTTTGATTCGTGCAATAAGGTGTCCCCAGAAAATTTTTCTGTAAATCAAATTCTATTTAAATACACTGGGGAACTATTTAAACAAACCCTGGGTGATTTTTCTTTTTTGTAAAATAAATCATTATTTTAAAAAATCTTATATAAAAAAGGAACTTTCGTAGTATTTACTAAAGTGAGGCTTTCTTAGCAATGTTTCACCCATATTTATCCATTCTTGGGTAAATTTTCTCAACATGGCACCATGCCAATGTAAGATTTAATTTATTGAATGAAACTTTGCAATTTGGTATGTGGCAGTGATCTATCATCATGTAGAAGTCTCTAGATTTAATTTGCATTTAATTTTAATTCAAAACCTAAAATAGACTATTTATTAAAATGTAAACACTAAGATAAACGGTGATACATTAAAAAAAGTATTTTCCCTTGAGAATTTTTATTTTCTCCCTTAAGTTGCAAAGGAAAGAGTGATCTTAAGGTCTTTTTAGAGAAACATAATATTCTGCTAACTATACAATTCTAGTGATTTATATTGCAAGTCAAAGCCTCAGGCTATCAATTACTACTTACAAGGGAGCCAGCAGATGTTACTCCAGAAATTTACGTATCTTCTTCTCTGTGCCCATATAAACCTTTACTAGGAAAAGAAATATTCCCAGGCACCCATTTTTCTCTTAAATATATATTTAAAGTACATTTCTATTGTTAGTCTAACACTAGTAGACATCCAGTTGTCTAATTTTTTTATAGTTGTCTTATCTGCAAAATACATTTTAACCAGAACATTTCAATTACATTTAATTGTGAGATAAACATTTGGGATAGTTATATAATTTATTTGTAACAATAACTTTAAGCTTGAAAGCTCAGTTTAACACTTAAAATCCAGTGGCAGTTTTATAATACTTTAGCAAGTGGTTAAAGTAATTTGCCATTATAAAGAAACAGTTTAGGCCCAGAAAAGATTCTCACATAAATATATTTTTTAAATTGCTGCAGGAAAATTAGGCAAATTAATGGGTAAACTAGGCCATCCATAAACTGTACATTCAAATCCATACTAGATCCAATAGTGCACTTTGGATTATAGTGAGGTAGGGCAAATAAATAAGTCAGATATACTCTGAGCTGTTAAAGTACTGAAATACTGACTTTTATCCAGGTTTTACTTGCATATCCAAAAAGAAAACTTTAGAATTCAAGTGACAAAGTATTTCTTGGATTTAAGGATAGAATTGTAAAAACCATTAAGGAACATACAAATAAAAAATACAAAGGCCACAAGATATATTTATTTTAACATAAAATATACTCATATAAAAATAATCCAGGAAATATAAAAAGGAAATACAAACATTTTTGCATAGATCCTCTATATGAAACATTTACCTGGGGCTAAACACTGGAATACACCTCTGAAACTAGTGTAGTTGAACTATTTCCTTGGATACCAAGTATACACAAAATAAAAGCCCTTTGTCTGGGGGAGCATGGGAAAACAATTTAATTTAGCATCAGTCTATATTTATTTCTCTGTTGCTCGAATATAAACCAATGATGACAGGAGGAGAAACTCTGGGGGTTTATTTAACAAAATTAAATTCACATTTCTGAGGCCATCATAATGCATCCAATGTCCGTCAATCTGGAAAGCTGCAGAATAATGATGTTCCTCTTTGTTAAACAATGTGGCACCTTCCAACAAATACCTGCAAAGAAAATTATAATACTTTGCTTTTAAGACAAGCACTCCTTAAATTCTTGACTAAGGAAAAAAAAAACTGAGATTGTTTGCATTGTGTTCCCTGAAAAAGACATCCATCTGAATAAATAATGTATTATAATTAGTAGTGTGGAGTAAAATATTTAAAAACTGAAATAATTTAAAATTAAAAAAAATTATTTTAACAGACCAACTCATAACTTGAATAGTTCTACTAAAAATTAAAAACACACAAGAAAACTTTTAAAGGCATAATGTTAAAAGAATCCTGTATTTTCTTGTTTGCTTTTTTTTTTTTTTGAGTCAGAGTCTCACTCTGACACCCAGATTGGAGTGCAGTGGCATGCTAACGGCCACCACAGCCTCGACCTGCTGGGCTCAGGTGATCCTTCCCTCTTAGCTTTCCAAGTAGCTGGAACCACAGGCGTGTGCCACCATGCCCAGCTGATTTTTAAAAAAATTTGTTGTGGAAATGAGGTCCCGCCAAGTTTTCCAGGCTGGTCTTGAACCCCTAAGCTCAGGCAATTCTCTTGCCTCTGCCTTCCAAAGTGCTGGGACTACAGGCATGAGTCACCGCACCTGGCAGAATCTTTTATTTTCTGACTTGTATGCAGGTATTTTTATTTTAAATGATGTAAAATAATAATTTATGTTTAAATGATAACCTTCTATATGTGAGGGGGGAACCCTAAAAAAACTGCTAGAATTTATAAAAAATTGTGTATTCTTACAAGTTTAAACTTCAGTCACCTTCAAAGTACTCTCCATTTGATGCAATACAACTATCAAGATGCTTTTCCTCTGCTCAAGACAACTTTTTGATTCACCAATGTAGATACCTTTTAGTGATTCTGCCATTTTTTGTTTCACCTCTTCCACATCAGCAAAACATTTCCTTTTGAAGACTTTTTTCATCAAAAAATGACCAAAAACTGTCCCTCGAGGTGAGACAGGATGAACAGGGAGGGTGGAGCATGGGGGTCATACCATTTTTGGTACAAAATGGCAGAATACTCATTGTGGTATGGGCAGGCGCATTGTTGTGGTGGAAGAACCAGTCAACTGTTTGTCACAACTTGGACATGTTTTGTGCAAATCATGACACAACCTTCTCAGAATTTCCAGATAAAAACTCTGGTTGACCATTTGATCCCAAGGAATAAATTCCAAGTGTACTATAAGGGGCCCTCCCTTCCAAAAGATAATTCCAGTTTTTGGGGGGGTCCCTCCTCATACTACTATATACTTCCTTGACTTGAAATACAAATAGCAGACCGTATTTACTGACTGCTTCCTGTGTGTCAGGCACTATCCAAAACACTTAGCATGTGCTGTCTTACTAAATCCTCATAATAATAGTGCCAAGCAGATACTGTCATTTCTGTTTTATAGATAAGAAAGCTGATGTGTAAACTGATTAAGTTATTGGCTCAAGATTATACAGTTTGTAAAAGACGGGGCTAGAATTTGAACCCAATTCTGTCTATTCCACAGAGCAAGTACCTAACGACTATGCGCACTGCTAGTGACGGTCTCCTTGAAGCAGATTCAGATCCTATTCAGAAAACACAAATTTAGAGACAGCTATGATTTTTTTCAACAATATCTTCTTAAGGATTAGTCTAAATCATGATAGAATAGGATAATTTTTTAAAACTAGTTTTACGAAGTCAACAAACAAAGAAACACCTACTTGTGATCAGATAAATCTAAGTAGTAGGGTACATATGCCAGATCTTCAGATTTCCAATGTTGCATATTTAAGACAACAAAAGGGGGTGCTCCATGGCAGAAAACTCGTTGAGAAAATTCTCTTAAGCCACCACACCTAAAATGGAAAATAGGCATGAACGTTATTACACTTAGGACAAAACTGCCTTTCAACACTTCTGGGTTGTCTTAATGACTTTAATTTTCTTATAGGCATAGTTATCTATTACAGGTATGAGTAATGATATGGCTATACTATTATCTTAGATACTTATTCCCAGAGTTTATAAACGATGTTCCCTGTACTAGAAGGGATTCTTTTAAAACTCTAGAAAAAACTAGCTATTTCTATCTAAGCCCATAAAAGCGTAATTCTGCCAAACTGATATAAAAGCTTTTATTTGTAGATACATTTTTTCAGTTTCAAATAATAACAGAGAAGGGAATAATATGACTCTATTGCTTCCTTTTGCCATTAGAATCTTCTATTAGCATGAAGCAAATTGTATTTTCTTAGTATTCAGGTATTAAATATATAGATAAGAATATAACAAATACAATTATACAGTAAAATCTCGATTAACCGGAATGTTTAGTGTACAGTATTCTGGTTAACAATCATTACTGACTAAGTTAACCAGAAAACCATCTGTTTCAGTATTTGTTGCTAAAATATATTAGTTCACTTTCTGAACATAATAAGTGCAATTAACTGAACATATTTTTAGCTTTCATGATTAGCTATATGATCATCCTTCTACATATTAATTCTCATTGTACAACAATGTAGACACAGAAATTGTTAAGAGATTGGGATGAATACGTTCTGTCCTCTGAACTTTTTTTTAAACTATGTTAAATTTTTTGGTTGTCATTTACCTCTTTCTCCTAAATGAGGAGTGCAGAAAAAATCCCGTTAATTGAGGGTCCCGATTAGCTGGGTTCCGGTTAACCAAGGTTTTATTGTACCTACTCAGAAGTGGGGGAAAAAAAGAAAAGGCATTTGCTTTGTATTCATCAAATAGTTGTAGTATCATATTCTATAGTAATATTCGATAATGAAAACATGGCATAAAATGGCACAGTATACTAGGTTAGTAAGATTCAAAAAGTGCAAGGCTTCCTAGATATTTATGAGTTGCTATTTCATAAAGTACTAACTTCAAAGAGTACATCAGTCCATTTGTTTCCTTATAAACAATAAGAAATACTTTTAAATGTCTATCATATACTCACCCACATTCTTCACACAGTTCAATCTTGGAACAGAATAACTCATCCACAGCCAGTCTTATCAAGTTTCCATGTGGAGTTTCTTGGGGAGGACTACAACAATTGTAAAATGCAAGCAAGAACTGTTTTAACATTTTACAGCTTAATGCATTATTAAGATAACAAACCTTACGGGTTAATCCGCTATTAGCAAAACTAAGTATACCAAGTACAACCTCTCTTATCCATCTTTGTATTTCTTGCAGATAGAACAGAAATCAGTTGAACTCAATAAACATTAATGTATGAAGTCTTCAAAAAAAAACTTAAAATTTTCTGTAAACAATTCTGAAATATGCAGTTATTGCTATGTTAAGCTAAAAAAAATTGTGAGAGAATTCCAAAGAGGCAATCTGGTCTGGTGGGAAGAAACTAGGACCCCAAATCAGAACAGCTAATTAGTTACCTGACTAAATGCAAGTCACAACCATTCTTGGCCTCAGGTACCTGATCTGTTGAAAAATCATTTTCTATATGATTTACAGGTTGTTTTAAACATAGGATAAAAGAAAATTAGGCAAAAGCTTTAAAAAATTAGAATACGATGAAAATTATTTAATTAAATAAGCATAAAATACGATGATTAATATGGACTAGCAAATAGCAACCTGGGTGACAGAGCAAGATCCAGTTTCTTAAAAACAAAAAAAATCAAACAAGACAACCAAAAACAAGAAACACTTCTGAAATGACTTTCATTTTTATTTTTCGGGTTGGGGTCTCACTCTGCAGCCCAGGCTGCAGTGCAGTGGCATGATCATGGATCACTGCAGGCTCAACCTCCTGGGTTCAGGTGATGCTGCTTCAGCCTCCCAAGCAGCTGGGACTACAAAAGTCTGCACCACCAAGTCTGGCTAACTTTTTGTAGAGATGAGGTCTCCCTATGTTGTCAAGGTTGATCTTGAACTCCTGGGCTCGTGTTCGCCTTCCTCAGCCTCCCAAAGTGCTGGGATTACAGACATGAGTCACCACACCTGGCCTGAAACACTTTTTCAACTATTATGATATAGAGTAAAATTTTTTTGCATCGAGAGATTGCAAAACAGCAGTACAAAAAATAGGCAAAGTATATTTCAGAGAAATGTGAGTTTAATAAATTTGAGTATGTGAGACATATTTCCAAATGGGAACACTCTATTAGGCTGTTTTTCTGGACCACAGACGAAATTACTTTCTGACAACAATGTGTCTGTTTTTCTTTCACAGGCAATTATCCCTTTTCCAGCTCAAGTCTCCAGAGCCTTTAATGTTTCCCAGCACTCTACCAGGACTTGCCAGTTTGGCCTCCCTCCTTGCCAATTACCAGTCTGGAGATTTGCCTTCTCTCTGAAAGCCAAAAGCAAATTCTCACATCCATATTTCCTGCAGGTGTGAGATGCCAAGTTTGGGGTCTTTGTCTATAATTATGCTGTGGCCATGATGTAATATTTTTAATCTTGTTCATGTGAAACTAGCCTTCCTAGCAGAGACTCATCCAAAGGGCAAAACATTCCAAAAACAGTATTAAGTTCTCTTTAAGAGGTTAAATTTGTGGTACAAAGAATGATCTACAGTCATATTAGTAAACGCAAAGCAAGAATAAAACATTTTGTCTACTGACCATTCATTACTTTGATACTGAAAAGGTTATCAGTTGGTTTTTTAGAGTAATTCTAAAATGTTTGGATGTAATAGATTGTATTAACATTTTTTCAGGGGACCCTACTGAAGAGTCCTGCACCTGTGTGGTTGCTTCATGTGTAAGTAATTACACAGGATCTGTACTTTAGCAAGTTCTCTAGCAACACTGTTATACACCGTCCAACAGGATATGCTCTAAGAAATGCATCCTTAGGTGATTTCATCACTGTGTGACTATCATACAGTGTACTTACATAAACCTAGATGGTTTTACTACGCACTTAGGCTATATGGTATAGCCTATTGCTCCTAGGGTACAAATTTGTACATGTTACTATACTGAATACTGTAGGCAACTGTAACACAATGGTGAGTCTTTGTGTATCTAAACATAGAAAATACATGTATAATTAATACATGGCATTATAATCTTAAGGGACCACCCTAGTATATGTGGCCCTTTGTTGACAAACATCATTATGAAGAGCAGGACTATATATTTAAAGCAACTTCTTTTTAAAAGTAAAAAGTGACAAAACAGACTTTAGAGCAACTTACTTTATATTAATTGTGCGCTGCTGATTTTCCTGTACTCGAGTTGGGCATCGCCAGTTGGAACAGTAACTCTCTTGAATGGTGGACATGAGATTTTCAAGATTTTTTGTAAAATTATCATGCTCATTCCCAAATAAATCAATTATTAATGAAGCCTTATGAACTTCAGATTTGTACTGCTGTTTTTCCATCTTGTCCCAAATCCAAAGTAGCTTCACAGTTGTAAAACTGTAGGTGTCCATTAAATAAAGAAAACAATCTACAAACTCTCTACCAAAGTGAACAGAAAGTTCCCTAGGGAAATTTTCATTTTCATTAAGAATGACATATAATAACATCAGGAATCCATCTATGGTGCAGGTATTTTTCAGTCTTATTTCAACATAGAGTGGTGTACAGGATACTGCTTTGCGGCCAGCTTTGATAGTAAAAACACCTCCCCAAGGAAGAACAGGCCTCCAAAATGATCGATCTTGGTTATAGTTATTTTTAATTGATGCTTTGATCTCTTCAAACAGTGTCTTCATCCTGCATTTTCAAAGTTTAAAATAGAACATGTCAACTTGTGACTTCATATATTAAATGTATGACATATGTTTAAATGAAAATAAATCTAGCTAAAGATTCAAGTTAAATTTGTTTGGTCCTCCCAATGTAACAAAAAAAATTTAAATGAGCCACATTCCAGAGCAGTCTCTGGAAAGATCATTTGAGCAGTTGCAATCTTTTTTTTTTTTGAAGTACAGAATGATCATTTGATAAGCCTTTACATTATATTGCATATTTTATCTATTAATACAGAAATACCTATAACACAAAGAATCTTAGATGAAAATAAAGCTATTTAAAGATACAAAGTAAGTTTGGTTAGGAATATTCCTAATGTAAGCCTCCTCCTCCCTCCAAAATGCAAACTGTACTTCATTTTCTTGTTAATATGGGTGGTCCACTTAAGAAACTGACATAATGGGACCCTTAGATGGGGTGTAGAGTAATAGTCATCTGGTGGCCTTTATATTAATTATACTACAGATTTTATCTGTGGTACAAAAAAATTATGTAATAACAACTCCTTGCTACTAAGACTAATTCTTTAGCTTTGAAAGACAACATGCTACTTATATGAATAGTAGTATAGCTAATATTTCTATTCACTTTGGGATTTTTATTTGCAATTATGCTATTAGTTGTGCAACTTAAATATACTATATTTTTAACTACGAGAGGCCATGCTATGAAGATTTGATTCAGAACTTGACAAATATCCTAATTACCCCCTATGTGTGTTTTGGGAATGAACTGAAGTGTCCTCCCCTTCTTTAAACTGGAACCTGTCCTTACCCTAAACATAAGGATAGCTAAGCATTTTGTTTTTAAAGCCACTGACAATATTTTAATAAACAATGTTTGTGTCACATGTATGTTAGGTAGACCATATTTTATAAATACAAGGAAAGAGGTCCTTTTGAAACTATTAGAAAAATTGCTTCACTTTACTTGGGACAAATGTCTAAATTAAAAACATCATATTGTTCTCCAATGTTATTTTTATGGAAAAGTGTATTTTTATAAAATAAAAAAAGGGAAGCATTTGAGGAACAGAAATGAATGGCCGAGTCCAGTTTCCTATTTTGACTATTTTTTCAAGTGTTGCATCCTCCCAAGCACATGAACCCAAAACCTAATAATACTGCAGATCTATGTTTTATTTGTGAGAAACTAAATTCAAAATATTTTGCAATACAAGCGAAAAATTCGGTCCTACAATGTATTAAACACATATGCACAGCGTTTTCAGCTTAAAGCAAGATACTGTGGACTCTAAAATACTCAGCACTCTATATAGTCTGAAGTGTAGATGTTTATACCTAGTCAGCTAACACACTGGCTCTAGCCAACCACTTAGGAATAAGAGGAGGTGGCAAATCCCTAGCCTAGAATAACATAAACTTAGTTTCTTTTTAATAGGACGAAGGCGTTTTGTTTACAAAGATTAAAAAAAAAAAAAGACATTCAAATACTTTAAAAATGAAAGTCATTTTATGGTTTATTTCTGTTGAATTTTTTTTTTTTTTTGAGTTGGAGTCTCACTCTGTCACCCAGACTGGAGTGCAGTGGCCGCTCCCGGCCACCGCAGCCTCGACCTGCCAGGCTCCGGCGATCCTTCCGCCTCAGCCTTCCAAGTAGCTGGAACCACAAGCGTGCGCCACCACGCCCAGCTAAATTTTTTTTTATTATTGTAGAGACGAGGTCTTGCCAAGTTGCCAGGCTGGTCTCCAACCCCTGGACTCAGGCAATCTTCTCGCCTCGGCCTCCCAAAATGCTGGAATGACAGGCACGCACCACCGCACCCGGGTTATTTCTGTGGCATACTGAAGAACTCTGCAGCAAGGTATAAGAGTGCTCAAAGATCCTGAGTTCAGAGTCCTGAACACTGCAGTGGAAAGGAAGCGTGAGTCTAGTTATTACTATTTCCCTCACACTACCTTTTAGACATGCCCAAAGGAAGAGGTGTGCACACCTCTGCAAAGCAACAATTACCCTCTTCTAAGAGAATTAAACCACGATGGCATCCAGGGCGTGCCACGAACTGTAGTCCTTCTTCTGAGGGAACAAAGGGGTGGGGGTGAGGGGACCTGGAAAAACTAGAGGATACTTGATCTCGTCTCGGCATTAACTTGGTGGCTTGTCCCAAAGGACATGGCCATACCAAGGGGAGGAAAAAGCTGGAGGGATGGCCCTACACAGCTCTCCTCAAGACTGCTGAGCTGGGCACGGCACTGGAAGCACGGGGGGACGGATGTCCCCGCCTTTCCTTCCCTGCCCCCACAGGCCCCCCACTCTCCCCGCCCAGGGTGAATCCACCTGTTAAACCCGCCCGACCTCTCCGCGGTCATTTCCGAGCGTGGCCATCTGGACCCCGAGCCGGCCGGGGGCACGCGACCACCTGCCCCAGGCTGCAAAGGCCGGCCCTAGGGGCTCCGGGGC